ACACAGTTGCTCGATCTCTTGCGAACAAGGTTGTTCGTCAGGGATATTATTGGCCCCGAATCTAAGAAGATGCGCACAATTTTGTCAAAAAATGTGGCAAGTACCAGCGGTTTGCGAACATTCCGCGAGCCACCTCGCACGAGCTGATAACGATGTCTAGCCCCTGGCCATTTTCCATGTGGGGGATCAACCTTATCGGTCCCATGCCAGTTGGAAAGGGAGGGGTCAAATATGCCATGGTCGCGGTAGATTATTTCACAAAATGGGTGGAAGCTGAACCGCTAGCCGCGATCACGACCAGAAAGCTGAAAGACTTCGTTTTCAAGAACATAGTGTGCCGCTACGGAATTCTCCACACCCTCATCTCGGATAATGGAAAGCAATTCGATAATGAGGAGTTCAAGCAATTCTGCGACGAGTTGGGCATCCATAAAAAATTCGCCTCAGTCGCTAGACCGCAAGCGAATGGCCAAGTTGAAGCTATCAACAAGACCATCAAGCACACTCTGAAGGCCAAGCTTGGGGCAGCCAAAGAAAATTGGGCTGACGATCTCCCCGAGGTCTTATGGGCGTACAGGACAACTCCAAGAACCTCCACCTCAGAAACCCCCTTTTCGCTAGCATATGGCTGCGAAGCAATGATTCCTGTAGAGGTGGGAACTGGTTCTCTTTGGAGGGACTTGTACAATAAGGTCAAAAACGAAGCACTTATGAGGGCAAGTTTGGATCTCGTTGAAGAGCACCGCAACAAGGCTTCGCTAAGGATAGCAGCCTACCAGCAGCGTGGAAAGAGGTTTTTCGATTCAAAGGTCAAGCGAAGAGACTTTCAGGTCAGAGACCTTGTGCTAAAGGAAGTTCTCCTTGGGACCAGAGAGCCAAGTGCGGGGGTACTAGGACCTAACTGGGAAGGACCGTACCGGGTTGACAAGGTGATCAGACCGGGGACTTATCATCTCAAAAGATTGAACGGTTCCACAGTACCCCAAGCTTGGAATGCCGAGCACCTCCGACCATACTATCAGTAATCCCAAACTCAGCTCTCATTATAGATCAGTTTTTTATTTTGTTAGTTCCCCCTTTGTTGTAAAGTATTATTCTGTTCGCTTAAATTGTTCGTGTTTATTCTGTTCGCTTGAGCAGTTCACATTTATTCTGTTCGCTTGTAACGATTCACATGTAATATTGCCCATGTAAAACTGAATTGTAAACTGCACTTATGTATGAAAAAGCGAACAGCAATTGAAAGCAAAATGTATTTTCATTTATTTACAACGAAAATAAAGACCCTATTTCAATGGAGTCAGACTCGTTACACTATGGCTGGTCGAGGGGATCCTTCGAAGCAGGACCAGAACCCTTTGGCTGGTCGGATCGTCGGGTGGCCGCTGCTGCTTGATCATCTTCCTCCGCCAGAACCCGCAAGGTCTCTCGCCACCCCTCTGGGAGGTCTGAAATATCCAAATCTGTGTTCTTTGGTCGCAGGGAATAAATGGACCCGATTGCCCAGTCGGCGGCCTTATCCTCGATCTCCTCTGACTGGATCCGCATTTCTTCAGTCAGTGAAGCGATTTTTTCCCGACTCTCCTGGAGTTCGGCCTCAAGAGCTTGCCTTTCCTTTTCGGAGACCTCCCTTTCTAGTTCAGCTTGCTGAGCCCACATGGAGGTCGTCTGGAGCTCCTGATCCTTTTCTCCGACCTCCTTGGAGAGCCTAGCAGTTGTCCTCTGAAGCTCCTTTACTTCCTCCACACGTCGTTCAAGCTTCGCCTTTTGGAAGTCCACTATTCCCAGAGCGGCGTCCTTTTGGTTCAGGTACCTGTTCGCCGCTTCGAATGCTTGAGTTCTTTCCGCTTCGACGGACTCCAGGTTCTGTTTGAGTTTTGCGACCTCCTCCTTTAGGTCGCTTGCCCCCTTTGCGGCCCCCAGCCGAGTCTTCTCCATAGACATCCTCATCACAAGCAAAGCCTGCGAGCAAGAAGTGAATTAGAATGAAAACAGCGGACAAACTTTAAGAGCAGTTTGTTTACCTTGCTTAGATGCTGAAACGACATGGTCATCAGGTCATCGCCTATATCGGCGAACTCATCATATGACTCCGATAGCCCACACTCGAGCAGAGAATAGACTATCGGCTGCAGGTATTCAGGCAGGCTCCCCAACGAGTCCAGCACTAGCGTGCCCTTCGCCTTGTCGGCAGCGATCATCTCGTCCACGAGTTCCTTGCCCGACCTCCTCCTTGAGTCATGTCGCGACCTCAAGGGTTCTTCCTCAGATTCGGTCTCTGACTCGTCGACCTGAATCTGCTTCCTCTTCTTCGACCTCTGGGCCGGAGCCTTCCACCTTGGGCGAGCAGGTGGCGTCTGAGTGACCTGTTTTGTCCTGGTCGCTTCTTGCACAGGACGGGGCTGGGGAGGCACAGCTGTTCGCACCGGTTGTGCTATAATGGGACGAGCTGCTTCGGTCGCTCTCTCTCTCCTCGATTGAGGGAAGACAAACGGTGCTCGGCGAGGCTGCTCGGACTCTTTCGGAGGCATAGTCGCTGCATGCAAGTACATTAGTAAACAAAAGTTATTCTACGACCAGAAGGGAATCAGTGCAACTTACCTTCTAGGGGCTCCAAAGACGCGTTGTTACTAATGAAACCATACTTCCATAAGTTCGCGGTTGTCACGAGCTTCCTCGAGTCCCGGCTTTCCTCGGGAAGGACTCCAAAAGACACAAGCCTGTCCGGGTCGTCAAGCAGGTCTTGCCTGGTCGTCTTATTAACTGCAAAAGAAGGCAGGTCATTATGATGAAGCAGGCGAACAGATAATGAACCTAGCGAAGAAGAACCTACTTGGTTTCTGAAAGCGGCAGTGACCGTCATAGCAGAAAAAGAAGAATTTTGTCTCGTAGGCCCCCGCGTTGCTGGGATAGCTATGTATCCCTTCGGCGATGGTAGGTTGCCGGGACAAGTAATAGGAATCATTGTCCTTACTTTTTTTGAGATAGTAGGCGATACCAAGCTCCACTGCCGTTGGCTCGCCCAAGCCACTCTCGCGGCACGCGATGTACATCGTGACGGCGATGACATACGCGTTTGGCGTCAACTACATCGGTGCGATCCTGAAGTGATCCAGGACCGACCTGATGAAAGGATGGAAGGGAATCATCCCTCCACCCTTGAAGATCTCTTCGGAGATCGCAGCAAGGCCATCGGAGGGATGCCGTGACGACCGGGTGTTGCCGAGGAACACCTCTACACGGACGTCGAATTGTCTTTTTATCCTATCAAACTCTTCTCGGGTGAGAACCGAGAAGACGTCAAGGGATGCGTCCGCGGGAACGTCCCGCGAGGATGAGCTGGCTCGGGTCTGGATGTTGATGGTTCCATTCCAGAGTCTGCAACACCGACAGACAGGTCATTTTAGCCATCGCATGTTGTCCCGCACGACGGCATGGGACAAATCCCTTAAACCCTAACAGTAACTCGAGCCGCCATCCACGGCTCGAATCCGACAACGGCGTCACGTCTCTGGTGAAACAGCGGGAGACCCAACACCATTGCCCACCAACCAAACACAAAAGAAAGGAAGAAGAAAAAGGACCTTACCTTCTGGGGCGCGTGACCAAGGACGAATCTTGTTTCAGATGTCTGAGAGGCACCGATCGGAAAAGAAGAACTTCCGGTTTGCAAAAACTTGTCACTCGAGGCAAAAGGGATTTTGGTGGCATCATCTGAAAAATTTGGGCTTTTATATGGACTGCGAATCGACGGTTACCACCTCTCGGAATCGAAACGACAACTCTCTCTCTCTCCGCATTAAATGCGCCCCACGTCGCATTCAATGCTATGATGAGGGTCGTCGTTTCAAATGTGTTGTGCAATTAATGCTGTCAAAACAACACCGGGTCAGCACACAACGCATTTAATGCACCTGCCAGACGTTTTAACACGTGCAGAGCACCTGACAGCGCGGAAACACGTTCATTGAATCTTCAACCCTAAGGCATGGTAAGGAACATCTGACGAATCCAGGTCGCTAGGATGATGGTTGTCAGGTCGTTTGGATGAAAAGTTGTGCGAGGTCGTGTTCGCAAAAGGCCCTGCCCCGAGCTTCTTCCATTCAGGTCAAAATTACCAGAACCTCCAATCGCGGCATGACTTAGTTTCCAAGGTTCGATCCTCAAACCTTAAAAACTAGAGGACTTCTGTTATGCCTGGGAGAATAAGGGCTGACATGGAAAGTCACGTGAAGCAGTGTGACCTGCCCCCGTCAGAACGGTAAGTACACGTCAAGCCTGCCAAATGCGTTGGAGCTCCCACGTGTCCATTTCCCTGCAATGAATCGCGTGAAATCAGCTTGGGAAGTGGGTAATGGGACGTAAAGCCGGATTATGTCCTGACACTCACACCAACTCATGGATTTAATGATGATTACACGCCCTCATCTGGTTATAAAAGGGAGAAGACCCCTTCATTAAGGGGATTCGGCCATTTTTACACTTAAATTCTCTCTCTTGCAAACTTTGTAATTTACTTTTCCTAATCATTTGTAAGTCGGTGCGCTGTTGCGACCTGACCCACCATACTAATACAAATCAGTAGACGTAAGACTTGCTACCTTAGCATCCGAACTACTTTAAAAAGCTCTCATAGCATTTATTTCACATAATTCCTTTCCATAATCATGTGTGTCTCTTGATCAATCAACGTTACGCACGTGTCGATTAGTTGGTGTTAGAATCGTGCATCAACCATTTATATAAAGAAATCATACATAAATTAGTATTGTTTCGAAGATACTTTCGGGCCTCTGCCAGCATTTAACATTTTAAATTTTATTAAACGAGAAGCAAATATTGTTTGGTTGGATGTGGATTAAATTAACAATTAATATAACTTTATAAAAGTAAATCTCATACTCAAGCGCTATCCTGGCGGCTTCTTTTCAAGCATGTGATCATGTTCGTTTGCAGTCAACCTTCACCGACACTATGACGGCTTACTAAACAATTTTTGCTTCCTCCTTCCCAGAACTCCGAGAATAGAAAAGTCATTGCTCACATCAAAATATGTGAAGAAACTCTTCAACAATGGGACGAAATTTTTTTAATGCCAACAATTGCATATAGTTTGTCTATAAATAAAGTTGTTGAGAAAGACAGAAGAAAGAGATATTGATGAAAATGGTGGAGGAAGATGTGGTGATAGTTGGTGCAGGGATAGCAGGATTGGCCACAGGGGTGGCTCTGCAAAGACTTGGAATTCGAGCCTTGATTTTAGAAAAATCTCAAGGCCTTCGAGCCACTGGTGCAGCCTTAACCCTCTCGCCAAATGCATGGTTTGCTCTTGATGCTCTTGGTGTTGCTCAGAAGCTCTCTTCTCTATATACTCCTTTAAAGACGTAACTTAAACTCTACACAACTTTGTTGGTTAATTATTTTATTTATGTATGTATATCAAACTGATTAATTATATTGTGATAATACAGGGGATTTGTCACAGATGTTGGAACTGGAGCTACTCAAGCAGTCTCCTATGCTGCAACTGGAGCCACCGGGTGAGCTTAATTAGTTTCTTAAGCTTAATTTTTTAAACATATATTTGATTTAGAAAGTTTTGTGATGTCTGAAAGTTTCAGAAAGAATAATAATTTATTGGCGTCTTATCTTATTTAAACAGGTTTCGAGCAGGACCAAGACCAGTTCATCGCAAAACCTTATTAGAGGCGTTGGCAGATGAGTTGCCGATTGGCGCAATTCGTTTCTCTTCCAATATTAACGCTATTGAAACACAATCACCGGACGGTTCTCCAATTCCTATCATACATTTGAGTGATGGTACTGTAATCAAATCCAAGGTAATTAACTACCAACTTTTCGTTGTTAATTATGTGATTTAATTTTAGTTCCTAATTAATATTTATCGCTTTGATATTAGATTCTGATAGGATGTGATGGGGTACACTCCGTCGTGGCACGTTCGCTCGGACTCGGAGCACCAGTCGATTCAGGTAGATCAGCTGTGCGTGGACTGGCTGTGTTTCCTGATGGCCATGGCTTGAAGCAAGAAGCCAGCCAATTTCTAGATGTAGGCATAAGGGCTGGATTTGTTCCTCTCAATGAAAAGGAAGCTTATTGGTTCCTCGCTTGTAAATCTTCACCCAAAGGTTCGCATTCTTCCAGTTTCATTTTGTACATCACTTGCTATGACAAAAACACCCATTTGACATGTCTTTCTTTGTTTTCAGGAGAAATGATGGAAAGAGATCCAGAATTGGTACAAACAGAAGTACTCGAGAATTATGCCAAGGATTTCCCTGAAATATACAAAGATATGGTCCGTCACTCCGATCTTTCAACATTGACATGGGCTCCATTGATGTTCAGGTATCCATGGGACATTGTGTTTGGCTATTTAAGGAAGGGAAGCATCACAGTGGCCGGCGATGCAATGCACCCCATGACACCTGACCTTGGACAAGGTGGCTGTGCAGCTTTAGAAGATGCAGTGGTACTGGGTCGACACATTGGCAATTCACTGATAAAAAATGGAGGACTTTTTCTAGGGGCAGTTGCTCAGGATTTAGATGGTTATGTTCAGGAAAGAAAATGGCGTGTGTCTTGGATAGTTGTAGGGTCATACTTTTCAGGGTGGATTCAACAAGCAGGGTCAAATTGGTGGATGAAATTCCTGAGAGCTATCTTCTACAAGTTTCTCATAACCAAGATCATTAGGATTGCAGATTATGATTGTGGGAAACTGCCTAAAGTTTCTTTCTCTAGTGAATTGGGAAATTCAAAGAAAATAGAATAAGCTTTCATATTGTAGTGAAGTGTGATGATTCTTGAAGAACAATCAAATCAAATAAGTTTCTTTAATGTTTTATAAGAAAATATTTATAGCAACAGCGAGGGGCTGGTGGCACACGTGTTAAATGGGGTTGGGCTGAGCTGAAATGAAGTGAATAAGAAATTGGGCTAATTACAAACCGAAGAGCCCAAGCCTTACACTCTTTCGTTGCTTAGGGGTGGCTAGGGGTGAAAATCGAGTCAAGTAGCTCGCGAGCTACTCGAACTCGACTTGGTATTGGCTCGAACTCGACTCGATATTAGTCGAGTCGAGTTCGAATTCAAGTAATCAATCGAGTCGAGTTCAATCATAGTAGAACTCGACTCGATATGTTCACGAGTATTTCTAAGTTCAATGGTTAAGCTAATAGTTTTTAGAGTAATAGGGGTCATAGTAATTTAAAAATTTGAAAATTTGAAAATCCACTCCTGTTAGATGAGCTCAAAATTGAGTTTGAACTCGAACTTAATTAAAACTCAACTAAAACTTGATTAAAACTCGAAAAAAACTCGATTATACGAACTTGAATTCGAACTTGATTTCCAACTTCAAGTACCGAGTTCAAATTCAAACTTGATTTGTTAGGCTCAATCAGGCTCGAATTCGGTACTGCAACAATTGAGTCGAGTTTGATTTACCAGATACTCGACTCGACTCGACTCGACTCGATTACACCCCTTTTTGTGGCTAGTGATGATTGTTTAATTTAATTTTTGTATTTTTCCGTTGAATTTTAAGAATTATTATTAAAAAGTTTACAAGTTATCTGTATAGAACAAAAATACCCTTACATCATTTAGTAGAATGTAACCGATTTTGTCTCACAAGGATTGAAGTGGCTTTTCTAATTTTACTGGACCTAATTGATTCTTGAGTAGACGACTTTTTCCCACCCAAGGTTTGCCTTAATGACCTTTTCCACCCAAATTTTGTATTTCGTTTACTACCTATAATATACTTTTTGATTCAACGGCGAACGAAGAGAAAAATTGGTCTAGGCTATTGGGGCTTTTGAAGAGGGGATGTTGTAACACCCACATTGAGGTAAGTTATTTATGCTTTTATGCCTTAAATTCCTTGAGTTTTGCTTGTTTTAAGATGGAAGATTGAAAATTTGGGAAGTGCAGACTTCGCCGCTACGAAGGATCTTTGTCGCCGCGGCAACAAACTCTCTGCCCAAACCGTGTTCTAAAATTTGCAGGCTTCACTACGGCAAAGAATAAATTTTGTTGCGGCGACATATGCTCTGGAATGCTTTGCCGAGGCAAAGAAAAAGTTTTGCCGGGGCCAAGAACCGATTGGAAATCTTGAGAAAATTTCCTTAAGGGAAAAATGACCATTCTACCCCTAATTAGTTGAAAATGTGGGGAGTGAAAAGTAAGGAAATTTCATGGAGAATGCAATGGTGATGAGGGCATTTTTGTAATTGACTAAAGGGCAAAGATGGAATCTCTAAGAAAGTGTAGGGGGAGAATGGGAAAGTATGCATATTAATATGAGATATTAAGGATTCAAGCATACAAACTCTATCACTTTTTACACCTCACACGCCACCTCCACTCTCAAATTCTCTCTATTTGCTACACCAATTTTCAAGGTATTTTAGAGGACTTTTGGTTGGATTTTTGGTAGAGATTCAATCCTAAGCATCCAAAGGATTTTAGAGAAAGAGGAAGTCTACCAAAGAGAAAGAGATTCTAGTGGAAGCACTCAAGTTCAAGGTAAGTAAATCCAACCCTAGCCCTTGAGTTAAGCAATTCTTGAGTAGAGAATTTCCCTATATGTATTTTATATACTTGAGTGTTGAGTTTTGTTGATGGAATTGATGATGAAACTGATGTTGAGTGTTGGTTTGAACTCCACCATGAGAAGTAGTGTATAGTATGAGATGAATTGGTGGAAGTTTGAAGAAATTATGAAGAAGTTGAAATAGAATTTTGAAGTGTGAATTTCTTGGCCAGGTTTGAGGTTAATTGTAGATAATTGTGCTCCAAATTTGGTAGCTAGAAAAAGAGATAGAGGAGTAGCTAATCTAGCACTTGTTTGTGCATACCACTTGCTTGATGAAATTCCAAAGTGAAGTGCATGTATAGTTATGATAGTATAATAATTTGAAATGAGTTTGTAGATGGTAGAAAAAGTAGAGAATGACATGTTTACATGCCATATTGCATGTGTGCATTTAATTAAGAATTGAGAAAGAATACTAAGAAGAATCCATCTACATGCATACAATCACACTAAAGAACAAAGAGAAAGAAAGAAAAGCACTAAAGAACAAAAAGAAAGAAAGAAAGTGCTAAAGAAAAGAAAAGAAAGGTTGTTGCGATGGGGAACCCGTGGGTAATAAGAAGAAGAATATTCCCACATGCATGCCGCCTTCAATGAATGACCTAAGAATAAGAAGAAGAATTTGTACGGCCCGTAAGAGTGCATGTGGATGAGGGTTGTACCCAGAAGAATATACCTACATACACGCCACCTTTAATGAGTGGCCTAAGAAGAAAAAGAATTCATACAATCCGTAAGAGTGCATGTAGATGAGGACTATACTCACTCACACGGCCAGGGTTCCAAATCCATGCATCAACCGAATCCGATCGGCAAAAAAAAAAAAAGAATAGAAAAGAAAAGGAAAAGAAGCAAAAAAAAAAAACAAAAAAAAAAAAAAAAAAAAAAAGAGAAGAAGAAAAGAAAGAAGAGAAGAGAAGAGAAAAGAAAAGAAAGAAAGAAAGAATAGAACAGAAAGAAGAAACATAGAAAAGAGAAAGAAAATACAATAAGAAACAAAAAAGTAGAAAGTAAATGCATCTCTATGCATTTGTGCATTTGCATCATACTTATGCATGATACCATGATTTCTATCATGAGCAGCGAGAAATTAGAACAAAGAAAGAACAGAGAGAACTAGAAAGAAAGAACAAAGAAAGTTAGAATGAAAGAACAATGAGAACTAGAAATAGTGAAAGAATAGAAAAAGAACAAAGAAAGAATCGAGAAGAAGAAAAAGAGTAATGTAAGGAAAGAAATTCGGAACCTAAACAATGGAAAGAGAGGAGTAGATTAGTGGGTTTACTTACTGAGCAACTAGTGCTCACCCCGTTGTTTCTAAATGTTTTTGCAGGAAATAGGTGAGAAGCGGTCGGATGGACGTCGAGAAGCGGAGAGAAATAGCACTACTATCCACTGTTTTTAAGTTATTGTATATAATATTTTTGTTATGTACAAAATTTAATATATAAAGTAAAAAAAAAAAAATTCAAGCGCATTATCTTTCACTTATATGCTTATGTGTTTTATTATATTATATTTCCCAAGTATACTAGCTAGAAAGAGGTACTACAGATGCTGGTGAGTCTTTTTGTGGTAGTAGGTTGGATTTTGGTGGCCAAGCTTGGTTGAAATCTGACTTGGGAGGGGCAGTTGCGTGTTCCATAAATTGCTCAATTTTCGGAGATTGACGGGGTTAACGGGAGCAAGGTTTGAGGGGTTTTGGTGAGTGATAATCAAGGAAAAGAATGGTGGTGGTGTGAGGTTGTAATGATGACAGAATCGACCGGCGATTGGTCAGAATATAAACTTTGGGTAATAAATTGGTATTTTGAAACTTTTTGGATGGAAAATTTTATTAAGGCAAACCTTGGGTAGGAAAAAGACGTCTACTCTTGATTCTTTCATCAAACCTTAGGGACCAAAATGTCATTAACTCTTAATAAACTATGCCTATTTCAAAGTAAAAAATAAGTATTTACATAAAACGAATGCATAATTTTGATACTTATTTTAAAACTATGAGGACACTTGGCCTCGAAACTCAGAAGTCTACACTTTAAAATTTATTTATCCAAGAAATGGCGGTGGAAGATGTGGTGGTGGTAGGTGCAGGGATAGCCGAGCTGGCCACATCAATGGTTTTGAAGAGAGCAGGAATTCGGGCCTTGGTTTTGGAAAAATCTAAGGAGCTTCAAGTCGCCGTTGTAGCCTTAACCCTCTAACCCAATGGTTGGCTTGCCCTTGATGCTCTTGGTGTTTTCTACAAGTTCACTTTCAGTGAATCTCCTTCTAAGAGGTGATTCATTTCTTCTAATTAATTTCTCTAATTTTCCTTTGATTTCTGATTTAATTTGTGTTTATTGAATAATATTTATTGTCTCAATGATGTAGGACTTCATATTAAAAATATTTCCATGTTAATGTTGTTCTTATTAGTAAGATTAAGTATCATAATCGGAGATGTATCGTAATATTATCTTTATTAGTAAAATTAATTGGTTTTTTTTTATAGTAATAATCTATTCTACTATAACCCAATTATTGGGATACTGTGACTTGATTTCCTAATTGTTTCCTTGCAAAATTGTATTCTCAACTATATACTTAATTCTGATAATTATTTAGGGCAATAATAACTGATCTTGGAACTGGAGCTGAGAAAGAAATCAAGTTCACTACAGCCAACAAGTAAATTTGTTTACATTAACGATCCGTTAGCTATATTTTGTTCTCTTTTTTTCACTTAATTGTTGAGACATGTAAGTTGTAACTCGAAGTGCAATGAAGATCATTGTTTTTGTTTTGTTTTAACTAATTTATCAGGATTGTAAGTGAACCTAGAACAATAAAACAGAAAACCTTGTTAGAAGAGTTGGCAGATGAACTATCCATTGAATCTATTCGCTTCTCTTCCAAGGTTGCTGCCATTGAAACACAAACACAAGAAGGTTCCTCCATTGTCATCCCTTATTTGGATGACGGTACCATTATCAAAACTAAGGTAAAATTAGTTGATTTAGCAACAAGTAGTTAGGTCCATACAATTAGCTAGAAACAAATTTCATAGCATTATATTAAATTGGCAACCTCATCATTTACACATTAGAGTCACTAGCAATACTTATGTGAGACGTCTTACCATATCACTTTACTGGTTTGATAAGATTGTATTATTAATTTATGGAGTGTTCAGGTTTTGATAGGGTGTGGTGGGGTGCATTCAATGGTGGCACAATGGTTAGGGCTTGGAGCAGCAGTAAGTGCAGGACGATCAGCAGTGAGAGATTTGAGTGTGTTCCTTGAGGGCCATGGGAGCCTCAAATTCCAGCAATATGTAGATGTGAGCATAAGGGCTGGATTTATTTCTTTCAGTGATAAAGAGGTCTATTGGTTCTTCACTTGTACTCAATCTATTTCTAAAGGTAATTGGCATTAGGTTTTCTCACCATTGATTTAATTTACTAGGAAAATCTTCATTCATTAGAAAATTTTCCATTTTCTACTGTCTATGAAGATAAACATAGTACAAGATTAGATTAGATTACAATTCTTTAAAGGTATCGGTGTCTTTTTTATAGGTCATCGTTGATGTTACAAGTTTGTCGCTAATTAATTTTCAATCAAATTTATGTTTTAGTCCAAATGTCAACAAGCATGCCAACACTATTTACTATTACAAGTCCATCTCAAAAAGTTAATATTCACACTTTTTCATTATGATTTCATCATACAATCTTGCAAAATTCTTCTTTTATTTTACGAGAAAACATGCCAGGAAATCCAAAACTAATACAAAGAGAAGTAATTGAGAAGTATGCCAAGAACTTCCCTCCATTGTACCTAGAAATCATCCGGTGAACCAATCTTTCAACATTGACATGGGCTCCATTGATGTTTAGGTACCCATGGAACATAATATTAGGGCATCTAAACAAACTAAACATAACAGTGGCAGGCAATGTCTTGCATGCCATGACACCTGAACTAGCTCAAGGTGGAGCTATAGCTCTAGAAGATATAATAGAAGCAAAAATGAGGAAGAAGAAGGAATTTGGCCGCTTATATTTTCATTCAACATCATAGGTTTATATACAAGTGTAAAAGATAAGAGATAAGAGATAAGAGATTCAAAAACCAAATACAAATTCAAAAGAAGATCAAATACAAATTTAAAACAAAGATCATTGACTACTTCTTCTGTTGACTGATTCTCTCTTGACTACGTCTTCTCTAATATGCCCCCTCAAGACGGAGCTCGACTAAAGAGGCAAATCTTGGTGCGCAGAGAAAGAAACCTAGACCTGAGGAGTGGTTTGGTAAGGGCATCTGCAAGCTGTTTTGCACTAGAAACATGAGCCACACGTAGAGAGCCATTTTGAACTTGATCACAAATAAAATGGAAATCAATAATGACATGTTTCATTCGTAAATGAAAAACTGGATTCGAGCACAGATGAGTGGTCCCAACATTATCACAATAAATCACAGGACAATGAGGAATAACAATACCAAGTTTAGTCATAAAAGAACACACCCAACTGAGCTCAACAGTCGTAGAAGCAACAACTCTATATTTAGCCTCGGTAGAGGATCTAGCAACCGTGCATTGCTTCTTTGAACTCGAAGATATTGGATTGTGATCAAGATAAACAACATAAGTGCTGGTAGAAGAAAAATCATCTTTGTTGCCAGCCTAATCAGCATCAAATAAGGCATGTACTGAAAGTGGAGAATGACGGTAAAACTAAATGTCATCATTAGAGGAACTTCAAAGATAACGCAAGAAGCATTTGACAAGAACCCAATGTTTGGCAGTTGGTCTATGCATGAATTGATAAAGTTTGTTGACAACAAAAGCTATATCTGGCCATGTGATTAGTAGATATTGTAAGCTCCTAACAATAGTTCTATATTCTGTAGGATCCGAGAGTGTGGTACCTGACTGTAGTGTAATAGGAGGACTAGTGGGAAGGGGAGTGAGTACCGGCTTAGCATCTATCATGTTTGTTCAAGCAAGAAGATCCATAATATAACATCTCTGAGAGAGCAAGATGCCACTAACATTTTGAATAACCTCTATACCAAGAAAATAAGATAGCTCTCCAAGATCCTTAAGTGAAAATTGGTGAGAAAGTAAATGCAAAAACTGTTGAACCAGATCATCATTATCACCAGTAACAATAATGTCATCAACATAAACCAAAAGATACAGAATATGACCTCTAGTTTTGAGAACAAAAAGAGAGCTGTCAACATGAGAGTTTTGAAATCCCGTAGCAATAAGAAATTTGTGAAGCTCATAGTACCATGCTCGTGGGGCTTGTTTAAGTCCATTAATAGCTTTTCGAAGCTTGCAAACATAAGTAGGATAGTCAAGATTAACAAAACTGGGAGGTTTGGAGATGTAAACATTTTCAGAGAGATGGCCTTGCAAAACGCATTGTTGACATTAAGTTGTCGTAGAGACCACCCATGGCTAACAGCATGGCTAAGAACAATACGAACTATAGTGGACTTGACCACAAGGCTAAATGTGTCATAATAGTCAGCTCCTAGACGTTGATGAAAGCCTTTTGCAACTAAGGGTGCTTTGTGCCTATCAATAGAACCACCAGAACTACGTTTAATGCGAAAAATCCACTTGCAACCAACTATATTATGACTAGAAATAGAAGGTACAAGTTCCTAAGTCTCATTTCGAACAAGAGCATCATATTTTTCAGACATGGCTTGACGCCATTTTGGATCTTTGAGTGCTTGAGTCGCGGTGGTTGGTTTAACATCACAAGCTTAGTTGAGGTGAGTGGAAAGGTTAAGTTTTTGGATTGGTTTTCGAATATTGTTTTTGGCTCTAGTAACCATAGTGTGTATGGGTGGTGGTTGTGAGGAATCGGTAAGGGCAATGTGGTTGAGGTTCGGTAGAAGGCTTAGAGGTGGTTGGCAGGGATTGAGATTCCTATAGTATTAGTGATATGGGTAGCGACAGTGAAGTGACAGTAGAGACTAATTGATCATTGCACAAAGGCCACCCTTGAGGTGGAACTGCATATAAGGTGGAGAATGGCGTTGAAGAAGCAGGACTTGTTGGAATTATTATCTTAGGAGGAATCTAAGTGGAGATAGTGTCGGGTTGTGGACAAGGAGATGGAGTGGAAAAAGTTAGAAAAGAAAAGACTGGCTCAACAAACTTGACATGGCGAGAGACAAACATTCTTGATGTAGAAGGATGATAGCCTAAATAGACACTTTGAGTGAGAGAGTACCTAAGAAAGATACAAGGTTTGGACCTAGTTTTAAGTTTGTGAGTGGAGTAAAGACGAAGCCAAGGGTAGCACAGACAACCAAAAAATGCGAAGCTTCGAGTAGTTTGGTGTAGAACCAAAAATTGTTTTATAAGGAGATGAAAAGTGTAACGTGGGAATGGGCATACGATTAATTAAGTAAACCGCAGTGGCAAAAACATGAGACCAAAAGTTTAGAGGAAGTGATGCATGGGAGAGTAGAGTGAGACTTGTTTCAACAATGTTGTCTTTTAGAATAGCCATTGTGTTCAGGTGTGTGGGGAGGAGTGGTAAGATGAGAAATGCCATGAGTTGCAAAGAAATGAGCAAGAGCCATGTATTCACCACCATTATCAGAATAAATTGTTTGAATTTCATTTTTAAAGTATTTTTCCACAATTGCTTTAAAATATAAAAATACATCTTTGACTTCAGATTTTTGCTTAAGAGGATAAAACCAGATATGTTTACTAAAGTGATCAACAAATATGAAATAATATTTAAAACCATTATGTGAAATAAAAGGTGAGGTTCATACATTGGAGAAAATAATTTCAAGGGGCTGAGAAGAAATAAGAGAGGAGGTGGAAAAAGGTAATTTATGACTTTTATTGCAGTGACAAGCATTACAAACAAAATCAGATGACAAAGAGGAAGACAAATCTAATTGATAATAAGAAACAATATGTTTAACAATGGGAATCCGGGATGACGTAATCTATGATGTCATTCAGATGAAGTAGTTTTATTACTAGAGAAAGCGAATAACGAAGAGGAGATTGGAGAGGAAGCCGACCATTCATACACACCATCCTTCATTTGCCTCTTCAAAAGGATTGCCCCTTTGTGAAGGTCCTTCACAAGAAAAGAAGAGGGTAAGAATTTCACAGAGACATTATTAGATGTGCAAAGGTTTGAAATAGATATGAGATTTTTTTTTTCATGCTAGGTACACATGGGACATTATCTAGATGAAATGTAGGAGAAGAAGTAGTAAGTGATGTAGAACCAGTGTGGGTAATAGGAAGACCCGAACCATCACCAATCATAATGTCGTCGGAACCGGTGTAGGGTGCATGAAAAGATAAATTGTTTAGATCGGCAGTGACATGATGAGAAGCCCCATTGTTAAGTAGCCACTGTGGAGTGTGAGAAGCGATGTTTGCAGTGAAGTGAGCCCGGAGCTACCATGGGGTTGGAGAGTTTGTTGGTGCATTTGGATTAGTGGAGGGCTAAATTTGTATAAGGCGAAATGAGGGACATTTCTTAGCCGTATGTCCCTGTATTCCACAAACTTGGCAATAGCCAAGATAAGGGCGTGAACGAGGTCAATCACTTCGTGAGGGGTTTGGCCCAACATAGGGAGACGCGGGGGAGCAGTTGTTGTTTGAAGCCGACACTGTTTCCAAGATTCTATGGTAGACGCCAATTGAAGTTTTTGGTGCCTGAGTTGGTTGGAGGACGCCAACCCATGTTGTTGCCACTTGCAGGATTTGTTGAGGCTGGGAAGTGCAGTGGTTCTGACTTTTTTTTCTTGCAGACACTTCAAAATTTAAGAGATTTTCATGTAGTTCATCAAAGGTGATCGACATGTCTCAAGCTTGAATAGCACGCACAAGTTCTTTGTAATCATCACCAAGGCCATCAAGGATCTTCTCTGTGAGATCATCCTCATCAAGTGATGCTCCAAGAATGGCAAGCTCATCAACCTGTGATTTCACAATTTGAAGAAAGTTAGTGATAATTTGTGAACCTTTAGAGAGTTTCTTGAGATGTCTCTTTACTTGTTTGATGCATCCTCGCGATGGTTTTGCATAGGTGTTAGCAAGGATTGTCCAAGCTTCTTTGGAGGTTTTGGCGCAAGCAATAAACGAGATAATAGTGGGAGAAAAAGATCCAACAAATGCATTGAGAATCAACTGATCTTGTCAAATCCATATTGTATGAGCTGGGTCTAGTACAGTGGTGTCATTTATAGTGATAGTAGGGGCTGGACATGGTTTCGATCCATTGATATAACCAAGGAGATCATATCCGATAAAAAGGGTGTGAAATTGGAGTGCCCACAGAATTTAGTTATTGGTGCCGGTGAGTTCGAGTGGTGCTTGGGCAGAGATATTGATGGTGATTAACATGTTGTTGGGGTCATTGGTGTTTGTGGCCATTTTGTTAATGGCTGGAGAGGTGACAGTAGCAACAACAATAATAATAATAATAATAATGAGCTTTAAAGGGTTGATAAGGCCTGCTGTTGACAATGATAGATATACAACCATGAAAGAACAAAAATAGAGATGAAGAAACAATGAAGCTAAAAAGCGAAGATCATTGAACACAGTAACGAGAACATAAAACAAACAAAGAGAAAAAAAAATATGTATATATATGAGAAAAACAAGCAGACTTTATGAGGATCAAGTAGTGAAAAATGAGATAAAAGATTATTGAGCTTTGAAGGGTTGATGAGGCTTGCTGTGGACAAGTAGGGTCGAGTTGATGTTGCTGTGGACAAGTGCTATTTTTTGCTGGTGTGTTTGCTGGTTATGACAAGCTGAAACTGGAAAATGAAAAAAAAAAAATAAATTTGGCAGAAGTGAGCAATGAGAATGAATGCTCTGATACCATATAATAGAAGCAAAAATGAGCAAGAAGAAGGAATTTAGCTGCTTGTATTTTCATTCAACATCACAGGTTTATATACAAGTGAACAATATAAGAGATCAGAGATTCAAAAACCAAATACAAATTCAAAAGAATATCAAATACAAATTTAAAACAAAGATCATTGACTACTTCTTCTCT